AATTATATTAATTCATCATTTATTAGTTAATTGTTAATTATTCCTAATTAATTAATTATAAATAAATAAATAAACTAATTAATTAATTAATTAATTAATTAATTAATTAATTAACTATAACTAATTACCTGTCCTGGGTTTATAATTATAATTATAATTAATATAATTAAAATAATTATTAATATTATTAATTAAGTACCTAATTAATTACTTAATTAATTAATTAATTAATTAATTAATTATATTTATTTATTTATTTATTTATATTTAATTAATTAATTAATTAATTACCTGTCCTGGATGCGAAGTCTGGCTTATAAATATAATTATAATTAATATAATTAAAATAATTATAAATAAATAAACTAATTAATTAATTAAATAATTATATTTATTTATTTATTTATAATTAATTAATTAATTAATTAATTAATTAATTACCTGTCCTGGATGCGAAGTCTGGCTTATAAATATAATTATAATTAATATAATTAAAATAATTATTAATATTATTAATTTCTTCTTCTTTTATGCTGCTCTGCTGCAGCAGCTGCTGCAGCAGCGGCTGATTAAAGGAAGCAGCAATTTGCTGCAGCACAACACGTAATTCTTCATCTTGTGCATCTAATTGCTGCTGCAATAATATATATGATTCATCCTGCTGCTGCTGCTGCTGCTGCTGTTGTTGTTGCTGTTGCTGCTGTTGTTGTTGCTGCTGCTGTTGCTGTTGTTGGTTTTCTGGTCCCTTGTCATCATCCTGCTGCTGTTGCTGCTGCTGCTGTTGCTGCTGCTGCCGTTGCTGCTGCTGCTGTTGTTGTTGTGATGGGATGGATGATGGTTTGCTGCTGTTGTTGCTGTCTTCTGATTGTTTTGCTGCTGTTGTTGCTCCTGTTGCTGCTGCTGCTGCATCTATTGCTGTTGCTGCTGTTGCTGCTCCTGCTGCTGTTGGACCTGTTGGTGCAGCAGAAGCAGGTGCAGCAGAATTTGCTGCAGCAGGTGCAGCAGCACCAGAAGGTGTACCAGAAGCAGCACCAGCAGCAGCAGCAGCAGCAGTTGCAGCAGGTGTAGCAGCAGCAGCAGCAGCAGCAGCAAGAGGGTGGTGTAGAGACACCCTAACCTGCTGCATGCAAGTAGGAGGGAGACGATCTTCTCCCTCTATAATATAACCACGAGCTAATGACGGAGGAAGAGTAACACCATGTATTGCTTCTCTTATTAATGATGGGCCTCCTCCTGCTGCTGCTGCTGCTGATGCTGCTGTTGCTGCTGCTGCTGATGGGGTTGAAGGAGCAGCAGCAGATACTGCTGCTGATGATGATGACGAAGATATGCAACTTGTTCTCCTGCTGCTCCTAGATATCCTACTACTACTCCTGCTGCTGTTGCTGCTGCTGCTGCTGCTGTTGCTGTTACTGCTGTTGCTGCTGTTGCTGCTACGTCTGCTGCTACTGTGACGACATAATATATCCCCGTCACTCCTTGCCTCTGCAGCAGCTGCTGCAGCAGGTTCTGCAGCAGAAGCAGCAGCAGCAGCAGCAGCAGCAGCAGCAGCAGCAGCAGCAGCAGGTTCTTCAAGTCCTTCGCTTGAGCTGCTGCCTAACATATAATGAGAAAGAGAAGGTTTATAACAACCCCTCTGCTTCTGTGTCCCAGCAGCAGCAGCTGCTGCTGTTGCTGCTGCTGCTCTTGCTGCTGCAGTTAGAGGAGGAGCAGCAGCAGCAGCAGCAGACCATTTAAGTCTAGCAGCAGCAGACACACGAGGGGTTTTCCTTTTTATATGTGTATAACCTAATGGATGTTTATGCTGCTTCTTTATTGCCTCTGTCTCGCTGCTGTTGCTGCTGCTGCTGCTGCTGTTGCTGCTGCTGCTGCTGCTTCTGTTGCTGCTCCGAGCTGTAGCAGCAGCAACACGCAAGCTCCCTGCAGAGCAATATCCCCTCCTTGGGCCTTGCTCCCTGCTTCCCTCCGCTGCTGCTGCTGCTGCTGCTGCTGCTGCAGAGGAGCAGCAGCAGCGGCTACATCTGTGTCTAGAGGAAGGAGACGGCTGCTGCTGCATGCAAGCTGCTGCTGCACCTGCTGCTGCTGCATGCGCTGTATCTCCTATTGCTGCCTCAGACACAGGAGGAGACAGGGGAGGAGAAGGAGACAAACAATTAAATAGTGTCTCCTTTTCTTCTCCTATAACAAGAGACCGCCAATCCTTCATACTCCATCTCCTGCTGCTGCTGCTGCTGCTGCTGCTGTTGCTGCTGCTGTTGTTGTTGATACTGCTGTGTCTGCGTCTGCTTCTGCTACACCGCCTGCTCCTGCTGCAGCTGCTGCTACAGCGTCTGCTGCAGCAGCAGCTGCTGCAGCTAGGTATACTATTGTCTCCTTGTGGGTGCTGCAGTGTCTCCTTAGAGGGAACTAAGAAGGGACTTTTATCCTTGCTGCAGTTTGCTGCTGAGGAGACACCTGGTTGTGTCACTGCTGTTGCTGCTGCTGCTGTTGCTGCTGCTGCTGCTGCTGTGTCCTTGTGTCCCTTTAAGGAGCAACTGTCTCCTTTGCAGTGTCTCCTGCTGCTGCCCCACAGATGTCTGTATGCAGGGTGCTGCAGCGCAGCACCATCAAGGGCAGAGACACAACGCGGTGGCCCTGCAGCAGCAGCAGCTGCTGCTGCAGCAGCAGCAGCAGCAGCAGGACTAGCAGCAACTGCTGCAGCAAAAGAACCTTCTGAGGAGACTGCCTCAGGCGCAGCAGCAGAGGAGCAGCAAACAGCGACGGGTCTATAGGGTGTCATCGCGCTGCTGCTGCTGCTGCTGCTGCTGCTGCTGCTACTGCTGCTGTTGCTGTTGCTACTACTACTGCTCCTTCTCCTGCTGCTGCCGTTACTGCTGCTGCTGCTGCTGCTGCTGCTGCTGCTGCTGCTGCTGCTGGGTCTCTGATGAGCAGAATCCTTATGAAGGGCTGCAGTACTAAAGCGAAGGGGACCATCAGGACTGTCCCTCTCGCTGCAGCAGGAGAGACAGCTTAATCCATCTGCTGCATCTGCTGCTGCTGCTGCTGTTGCTGCTGGTCCTCCTGCTGCTGGTGCAGGTGCTGCTGCTGGTCCTGCTGCACCTGCAGCAGCAGGAGCAGCAGCACCACCAATAGGGGCCCCCATTACATAAGAAGATAAATCACGTTGGCCTACTACCTTCTGTAGGCGCTGCTGTGTCTCCTTAAACTCCGCAGGTAAGGGATCCATATTCAGACACTACAGCATAAACAGCAGCAGCAGCAGCAGCAGCAGCAGCAGCAGATGCAGCAGCAGCAGATGCAGCAGCAGCAATGAGAGTATTGATGCACCAGAGAACGATATACAACACTTGTATTTAGGTGTCTCCTTTATATAAATTAATAAGGAGACACTTATTGCCAACTACTGCTGCTACTGCTGCTGCTGCTGCTACTGCTGCTGCTGCTGCTGCTGCTGCTGTTGCTGCTGCTGCTACTTACATGCATAGCGAGTGTAGTCCAAGGCCCAACACGACAGGCAATTCGCTCACAGCCAACTTCTAACTTAAGACGACCCTATAAGGAGACAAAAAGGAGACAAATAAATAATAAATAAATAAATAAATAAATAAATAAATAAATAAATAAATAAATAAATAAATAAAGGAGACAAATAAATAAATAAAAAAGGAGACAAATAAAAAAGGAGACAAATAAATAAATAAATTAAGGAAATATTAATAAACATTTATAAATAAAAAGGAGACAAATAAATAAAAAAGGAGACACTTATATAAAAAAAACACATGAATAAAAAAGGAACATTAATATACAAAAAAGGAGACACCTAATAAAAGGAGACAAAAAGGAGACACATAAGAAGGAGGACACAAAAAAAGGAGACACCTAATAAAAGGAGACAAAAAGGAGACACATAAGAAGGAGGACACAAAAAAAGGAGACATCTAATAAAAGGAGACAAAAAGGAGACACATAAAAAGAAGACAAAAAGGAGACAAAAAGGAAGGAGACATAAAGAGGAGACACATAAAAAAGGAGACAAAAAGGAGACACAAAAAAAAGGAGACAAAAAGGAGAGACACAAAAAGGAGACAAAAAGGAGAGACATAAAAAGGAGACAAAAAGGAGACATACCTGCAGGACTAGCGCTGCATGATGGGCCCTCACACCTCTTGTAAATATCTGCACACAAATAACCAGCAAAACGCATGCACCTGCTGCTGTTGCTGCTGCTGTTGCTGCTGATGTGGCTGCATGCAGTCGCGCTGCTTCTGCTGTTCCTGCTGTTGAAACTGGTGCTGCAGCTGTTGGTGCTGCTGCTGTTGCTGTTGTTGTTGTTATTGTTACCTACCTGTACACCTGAAGGTATGCGAATAGGCCGCATATGCTGCAGCAGCAGCAGCAGCAGCAGCGGGGAGACAGTTGGTGGCTGGAAGCAGCGCTCAGCGCAGCAAAGAAACGTAGAGACAGCAAGGGCCTCTGATCTACTCAAGAAGGAGCCTATACGCGAGCTAAGGAGACAAAAAGGAGACACATAAGAAAAAAAAAAAGGAGACAATTAATTAATAAGGAGACAATTAATTTATAAGGAGACACAATCAGACTAACGAAGACAAAAGGAGACAAAAAGGGAGAAAAGGAGACAAAAAGAGACAAAAAGGGAGAAAAGGAGACAAAAAGAGACAAAAAGGGAGAAAAGGAGACAAAAAGAGACAAAAGGGAGAAAATAAAAAAGGGACGCATACTAACAAAAAAAAAGGAGACACAATAATAAATATAAATATAAATATAAATAATAATATAAATATAAATATAAATAATAATATAAATATAAATATAAAATATAAATATAAATATAAATATAAAGGTGACAACATATAAAAAAAAACAGCAGCATCCTAATGACAGCAGACGCATGCATGCACGCATGCATGCATGCATGCATGCATGAATGCATGCATGCATGCATGCATGAAAAGAAAGCCCCAAGAAGTGTGTGAGTATTACTGATCAATTAATTTCATTCTTCCTCTTAATATTGTATGCTCATCTACAAATGTTCCTGTCCTGCAGCAAAACAGCACCAGCAGCAGCAGCAGCAGCAAATACAGCAGCAGCAGCAGCAGCAACAACACCCGTCAGCAGCAGCAGCAAATACAGCACCAGCAGCAGCAGCAACACCCGTCATCAGCAGCAACACAAGCACCGCTACTCTATCACCACCACAACAATCACCCTAAGCACAACCAACAACAGCAGCAGCAGCACCACCACCACCAACAGCACTAACAGCAGCAGCAGCAGCAGCAGGAGCAGGAGCAGCAGCAGCAGCATACTGTTGTGGATGTAGATAATGATTAATAACAGGAGAGACCATCTTTAATGGTCTCCTATCTGCAGCAAGAGCCTTAGATACACCACAACTTAATAATAATTCCCTATCCTTATTTATATTATTATATTCATTATTTATTAATCCTTTCCTGTTGTTGTTGTTCTTGTTGTTGCTGCTGCTGTTACGACGCTGCTGCCGCTGCTGCTGCTGCTGTTGCTGCTGCTGCTGCTGCTGTTGTTTGTTTTGTCCCGTCATTTGTATTATTACTGAATTAATATCTGATGTGTTTATTACGGTGGGGTTGTTCAAATCACCACCATCTGCTGCTGTACCACCACCACCACCAGCAGCAGCAACAGCAGCAGAACCTGCTGCTGCTGTTTCTGCTGCTGCTGCTGCTGCTGCCTGATTCCCTGTAACAGGACCATCATTACGATGAATAGGAGGAGAAGAAGAAGGTGTATATAATAAAGGTATATCTTCTCCTTTACTAATAAATCTTGATACAACACCATTCCCTATTCCCCCACCACCACCACCACAACCTTGTTGCTGCTGCTGCTGCTGCACTCCTTGCTGCTGCTGCTGCTGCTGCTGTTGGTGTTGACCATTACCTCTAATAAGTTTATCTTGATCAAATTCATCATGTATCTCATCTTGTAATATTTCTTCTATGATATCCTCTAATGTTATTATACCTACATGTCTATAATAAGGATCACCAGATGATTCACACTCAACACGACGTACTACTGCTAGATGTGTATGTCCTGTATACATATACATATATATACATATTTATTTATTTATTTATTTATTTTATCTCTTTTATCTATTTTATTTAGGTTTATTTAAAAAAAACGACAAAAAAATATCTATTATATGTCTAATTATAACTGCAGCAACTCTAGTGCAGCAGCAGCAGCAGCAGCAGCAGCAGCAGCAGCAGCAAATGCAGCAAATGCAGCAACAGGAAGAGGAAAAAAAAAAAAAAAAAAAAATTACCTTTTTTAAATGCAGTAAG